TTTTTTATATAAGTATGTAACTCCTCTATCGATGTATGCAGATGTATTCAAAAGCAGTAATCTGTCAAAGTAAAATTTGCAGATGTTCATGAAAGGTATGAAGCCTTCGGCATAGCCGAAGACAGCGCTGCTCTTACTTGTTTTATTTTGTTATAGTTATAAAAATATAGTTTTTTTTTTTTTTAATAACGATCGTATATATCCAAGTTTTAAACTTCGTGCAATATTTAAAAAATTAACAAGCTAGTATAATAAAGTGCAAGTTCAAAGTTGCTGTTACCTAACATTAATTTTTGGCAATTTATTTGCTGAAGGTGTTATGCATGATCCTCCATATAAAAATTGTCGAACATAAGTATACCAAAACGAGGACACCTTTAACAAAAAAAAAATAATGCCAAAAATCATTTATTTTTGCTGTGTTTTCATTATTCATAGGTGGATTTAATTTTACAAAAAAGTCATATGCCTAATGTATATACATACACAAATACTATGTATATATATAAATAATTCTTTACTGATTCCACAAAAAGTTTAGCGAAATTAAATTTACATTCTGCTAATATATCTTTACAAAGTTCCCTGGACTTGATGTATTAACATACATACATCTAAAAAAATTCAAATTATTATATTAATAAATATTTTCAAAAATGGTTCAATACTGCCTTTAGTGTGATAATGATTTTTAGTAAGTTCGCAAAATGCAATTCTTGAAATTTCGGAGTAAATACTTAAAGTTTGGAGTAAATTAAAATGTCAAAAAAAATACAATAGAACGCAATTTGCTTATATTTGTTCATTTTCTATTAAATTTTCATAACTCCGAAAATTCGGAGTGACTCCGAAAAGCCTAAAACTATACAAAGTTTTTAAAGGGGGTTGAAAGCGAAATTTAAGAGTATTTGTGTTTTTATTTAACTCAATGATTTTTCATTACTTCGAAAATGATGAGATGTGATGCACAGTGTAATGTATTTTAATTTTAATTTTTTTAATTATTTGTTAAATATTTTTACTAGCGAAGCAACATGATGACCTCAAAAAGAACGTTCCTAGTTTTATTTGCAATGCAAGATATTTCTTTTACTATCCACAGATATTTGAGGCCATGAGAGCAGAAGTGGCCTAACTCAAAATTTTGTTTTTGTACTTGCCTGCTTAAAATAGTCTCAAATATGATAAATTTTAAAATAAAGCGCATACCATTAAAATCAAGGAAAAGCTCCCTTTATTTTAAAATTCATCACATTTGAGACTGTTTTAAGAAGTTGAATAGAAAAAAAAAAAAAAATTGTGGCTTCTGCTCTCATGGCCTCTTTTATATATACTTACATGTATGTATGAAAATTTTCCGTAGTGCAAAAAATACCTTCATAGTACATAAAGATATTTCGCTCAAAATATTTTCTGTAATTAACTGCGAAGTCTAACAACAAACTGATTTGATAAAGCAACAGTGAATTACAAGTAAGCGAAAAACAAAGGGAAGTTAGTGAGGGGTACCAATAAGATATTATCAGCAAATTGGTTTTGTCGGAGAAATAAATATTTTCTACCAAACAACCAAACAAAAAAACACAATGTAGAAGTAAGTACTCAATCCAAGTGACACTCAAAGTGGTTCAAACTTACTTATAGTATATGTAAACGAAAAGGTGTGGAGAACACGTGATGCATACTACAACTACATAAGTATATATTTTTTCACACATTGTAACTAGGAGTACTTACCACCTTCAGGTTCTGAGTCATCTATATAGATCATATCGTTGTTATCTTTACTGAGGTTGTGTTCGCGCAGTCGAGTACCTATTTTGATGGCTTGTCAAACGGAAACGAGTTGTAGAGACAAATAGGTATTTTCTAATGCGACGTACTTCAACTGAAATACTATCACTAGTGTGTAGTTAAGTGCACCGTTGTATGACCTTGCCCGTGCTTGCGAATGAAAACTGATGCAAGGTGGTTTTGGTGGTTCGAAGTGCAATGGTTGGTTGTTGAATTCAGTTCAAAATAATCGACTCGTTGTTAAGTTGATTGTTGCTTGATTTTACTTTGCACTTTGCTTTAAATTGTTTTTTTTTGCACTGATATATTATCTACTTTTTAAATTTATAACACACGATTAAAAATTGATTTTTTCTTTTATCTTTTTATTAACTTTTATAATTTATTTTTGATAGCGATATTTTGTTTGGCTATTTTATTATTGCATTAACTTATTTTAAATTTAGTACCACAGGTTGCTGATTTTATACGCCGCCAACTTTTGTGGGTGTAGGCGTTGTGGGAAGAGAGTTTATAGCGTCGGGGATGTTGTATTGATTGCTCGTTTTTTTGCTAGACGTTGAATAAATTGCGTTGTCTATGAAACAAAATTTTCTTATTTTTCAACACTTGCTTTTTGTTTCACAAAATAATTTCTTTTATTTATGTTTTTCTCTTATATATGGTTACTTATTCTATTCGGATACAGAACTGAAAATAAGATGAAGGAAAACCAGATTTCAAATATACCATTTATGTATTTTATTATTATATTGCCACCATTTTTTATAAATTTTTATTTTACAATTTTTAGTATTTTTTTTCATTCTAAACATATGTAAAATGACTAGATTTATGTTGTTTTTATTTTAAAAATGTAAATGTGGTATGATTCAAAAGTTTTAGTAAAGATTTTTGGTTTTAATGTAAACTCTTCGCAGGATGTTTATAAGAAAAATTCCAAAGTCTTAGAAGTTACTTAAAAAGTATTTAAGCTTGATGATAATTTCAGATTTAGTTAAGATTTTTGTTTTTAAGACCAGTTTTTGATTTTTATTTGGCAACTTTAATATTCCAAACAAACGAATTTTGATTAAAATTTTTTTTCCGAAAATTTTAAATTCCATGAAACACTAAACCCGCACTATATAGTTTAAGATAATTCCCAGATAATTTCTAATCGAAAATTTTTCGTATAATGCATTTTTTAAATGCTTTCGGTGACACTTTATGGTTAATATATGTATATGCGTTCGATTTGGTCAACAAAAGGTGTAATTTTATGAATATCTTTAGAAGTCCAAATTACTCCGAATTTCACAAATCATTCTAAAATTACTACAACGATGAATTTATCGCTTAAAATATCAAGTTTTTGAGCTGTGTTAGGTTTGCAAATTTTACATCGAATTTTTTAAAATATTGCAAAACAATTTTTTGCGAGAAATAATGTTGATGTTTTTGCATCTTAAAACTGTTTTTTTGTAAAAAAATAAAAAATAAAAATAAACTAACTTTTTTTGTGTTGTATTTAGCTATTTTTGTTGTTGTTTAAGTATTTGAATTTGAATGGACTAAAATATTACTTATCTCGCTTCCTTTTGTAGAATTTTTGTATTTATTTTCTTTTAATATATTTTTTTAACTTTTTTTCTTGATCTGAAATTTTTTAAAACAATACTTTTATTATTTTTGCAGCTGATTTTTTACTTGAAATTTATAATTCGAACTTTTTGTTGCATTTGAATTTTTACAAATATTAAATTTTTCTTCTGGCTTTTTATAACCATAGACCCAAAAATTTATTAATTCTGCTCTGTTTTCTAAGTGACACACACAATTTTCTATGTTGATTCTGTTTTAAAAATTTTCGCACTACGAATGATTTATTGATATGTTTCTAGTTTTCTTTTTGCAATCCACTAAAATGTCTGCTTGAATATCTGCGCGAATTATATTTTTATTTTTGCTTGGTTGCTAATAGCGCAGAAAATTTCGCAGATAGTTTCTAAATTATGTATTTAGTGGTAGCGTTAGCGGAAATTTCAAAAATTTTAAAATTGATTTTTTTGAACTTTTTTTTAAAGTTATGATTTTTGTAAAGGAATTCGGTGTTTAAGCACTGATTTTTTAGACACTTTTAAAATTAATATATTTTAGTTTTCTTTTGCATTGAGTTTTGGAACTTTTTGAATTGGTTTTTTATTTTTTTCTTGTTTTCTAACTCTTTTCTAATCATCATTTTGTTTTTTTTAGGAATATTTCTTCACCTTTTTGGTTTTTTTTCAATTTGAATATTTGCTAATAAAGTTTTTTTTGAAAAATATTTCAAAATTTAATTAAACCACGGCAATTTATAAATATTTGCTTTTATTTAATTTCACTCAAAAAAAAAAAAAAATTAACAGAACTCTCTCCTGTACCTGATAAACATTTTTGATTTTTAACAACTTTATTTTATCACTGTAGTCAACTTGCAATATTCACAGCAAATTTTTTATATATATTTTTTCATGATTTTGGATTTTTTTTTTCAATTTTTACTTGTTTATCATAAGCATTGGATCTTTCCAAATTTATTTATTAAAAAAAATCACTTCAAAACTCTTCAAATCACACAATTCTTTGCATTAAGAAACTTTCAAATATAAAATTTCCTTACAAGTATTACTTCATTCGCTTCCTCGCAAAAAAAAGAAGATATATATATAATTGGAATACGAAATTAATTTTCACCCGTTAATCGCAATCGCGTGCTTTTCTCTGTACTAAATATCACCGCGCACCAGCTCGCTAGCAAATCACAAGCACCGCGCTATAGCTTTTTCAGCCTTTACCAACTGACGGGAATGAGTGTGCGAGCGTATTGACCAACAGCTGAGCACTGGCAGAGGCGTGCACAAAGAGTCTCAATAGCGCTGCGGCGTCGTTGGCAGCGTTACTCCCAAATCAAGACATATGTATGTATGCATGTTGCGCTCGCGGCCCCCAAATAGCTGGCTATCAAGTTAGCTGGCTGCCTGCCTGCTTCTATTTTGTTTTTCGCCTTTGTTGTTGGCGCATTTGTAGCCATTTGTAGTTGTTGTTGCTGCCTTTTGTGTGTTTTTCATTTGTTTTGTATTTGTTGTTGTTTTGATGAGTTTTCCCCAAGTCGCGCCACAATTTGTGGGCTACTTTGGTGGGCTGTCGAATGTTGGCTGCTAGCTGCTTGGCTTGCTTGTTTGCCGTTTTGTTAGTTGCTTGCTACACTTTGCTGTGCGCCTATTCGTCTTAGCCACGGCCAACGACACACGATTGCGTTCAGGTTGTTGGCTTAAATGATAGATAAAAAATAGATACAGCCAGATTTTTGTGTTGGTCTTTCGACTTTCAAAATACGATGCGCCTCGGCATGAAGTGTATGTGGCGGCTCCGGCAGCTCTGGTAGCGCTAAAAATAAATGGAAATGGATAGACAAAGCGTCAGCACATGTGAGCAGGCATCAAATTAGTACATACATAGTACATTTAAAATATGTAAATAAGCATTCATACATCAATATTATGTTGGAATATGGTATAATGCATTAGAAAATGTGTTGACTTGAGAATTCAGTTGAGAAATTTGTATTTTCAGAAGCAAAATTTAATAAAGGAAAAGAAAATTTAGTTACAAAATAGCGAAATTAAATAATATTTACTCAATTCTTTTCTTATAAATTTTCGTTTTCACAAACATTGTTAAAAAATATAGCGATAAATAAAAAGGACAGTATCAAGTATGCATTTCATACGTCAAAGCAAGCATTTTTATTAAAATCTTTATTTTTGATATTTTAAACAAGAAAAACTATACAAATGGACATTATGTGCGCTGTTTTTTGAGTATAGCTGGTAATTTTTTGACAGATTGTGCTCCTTTTTGCGCCATGTCTAAATTTGGGTTCCCCGCACAATCTTCAGCTCCGTCCAAATTGGGAAGGACCTCTCCGTGCCGTTTGAGACCAAACGATGTTTTAGCCAAGGCGATACTGGAAAGCGTATTAAGAGCTGCTAATATTAATCGAAGCGGCCATATGTAGCAAAAGAACCAGGCTACTGGCGTATTCTGTTGGTATCGATATGGTCGGCCTGAAACTAAGGGACGTTACCGCAGTAATTTCCAGTTTATAGCGGCCATATGTAGCAAAAGAACCAGGCTACTGGCGTATTCTGTTGGTATCGATATGGTCGGCCTGAAACTAAGGGACGTTACCGCAGTAATTTCCAGTTTAGAAAAAAGCTGAAGAGAACAAGACAAATTACCTCCCTTCCTTAAAGCAGGTCTGGCGACTTTCTCTACCTAGGATCCAGCATAAAAACTAACAGCAACGTTAGCCTGGAGATCAGGCGAAGAATAACTCTTGCGCTAACAGGTGCTACTTTGGGCTCGATAGGCAATTGAAAAGCCGAGCTTTCTCTCGACGAACAAAAATCACGCCCTACAAGTCTCTACCCGTTCTTCTATAATGCATAAAAACGTGGAAGATGTCAAACAACGATGAGAAAGCTTTCAGTGCTTTCGAGAGAATTATTCTACGCAAGATCCTCAAGGTCCTGTTCGAGTGGACAGCGGGTATCAAAGAACTATATGATAATTTTAACGACAAGGGCATAGTTAAGGGCATACAAATACTTATACTGACAGATTTGCCATGTTGTAAGCATGGAGAACAACGACGCGGAATCCTGGAGCGGATAACGAAAGCAAGGCCGCCCGCAAACACAACGGAAGGACCAAGTGCAGAAGGATCTGTCTGCACTCGGGATGAGCAACTGTCACAAATTTGCACGGGATAGAAGAGAAATTGCAGAAGATTTTTGGTCTCGGCCCAAAATAGACAAACGGTTTTAGTGCCAAATAGAATGCTGAATGCGGATGGTACCCTTTAAATACAACCCGTGGTGTTGGGTTCTAGCTTTGTACAAAGACACTTGAAAGCAGAAGTTTTTCTAGACATAGTGCAGGAATCAAATGTAAGATATTGGCTTTTTTAAAATATGCACTCCACAATCACAGTGCAGGAAACACATTATTTATGGCCATTAGTTTATTTATCCCAAAATGTGCACAAAACTTTCCATGATTACTTTAAATTCTGTGCAGGCCATACAATTCTATTTGACTACCAATAATATAAGGAATGGGGTATAAGAGATAACAGTATCAATTTACAAGAGGCGATAGAAAAATAAGATAAGCAATCGAACAAGAAGAAGAAGCATTAACAAAAATAGCAGCAACGCTTGTATATATGTGGACACTGAAAGTGGAATCGAATAATCTTATAAAACTAATTAAATGACATTTTCTGGTGAATTTCAAAATTAGAAGGCACTT